CAAGTGAGAATCGAAACTTCAACTGACAAAAGTGAAAATCAAATTACATCCGATTTAAATGTTTCCCCAACTGACTTTCGAAACAAATTAAGAACCAAGTTTAAGATTTTCTCATCAGTTAGTTCATAAAGAAATGATCAACTCACTATTCATCAATATATTCATCAATTTTGTTTAAGGATTAGTAAGTACAAGATGTCGTTCGAAACATATTTTAAACTTGTTTCATAAGTTGTATTGTGGTAATATTTCTGATTTTACTGCGTACCAAAACGTCTTCATATATTTGTGTTTCCAGAGCAATGACTAGAGTGAATAAAATACATGCAAGAACCAGAATCCACTCAGCAATTGCACAATAAAGAAATTCCCAGTAGCCCTGAACACGTTGACAAAATAAATAAAATATTAGTTAAAGCACAAAATACTCTCTTACATAAATTTCATCATTAGTGTTTTGGTTACCAGATCTGATCAAGTTCACCAACTATGATTTCAAAACTAACAATCCGAAAGCAATCTAGTTTTGAGACAAATACACCGTTTGCAGTTACAGCATATGATATTAGGTTTGTTTGTAATATAACATTAAGTTGTTAAGTTTAAGATGACTGAGATAAGATGTTAACATGATTTGGCTTGTATTTTAAATGAAATTGTAAGATTAGTGAACTCAATGAATTTAAGTAACGCACGGATAATAATGTCTTAGTGGCTAGCTTATCTGAATCCAATTTAAAAGAACGAATTAATATGTGATGAACATGAATCTGTCACTTAACTTCGTTTATTACACATAGGCTAACATCGTTTGTCTGATAGTGGCAATAAAAAGCCAAATACGGGTTATGTCGGATCAATTCATTTCAAGCACTTGTTTATAAAAACAGATATCCACAATGATAAACAGGAAAACAAAGTGGAACATTCGAGTGAGCCAACTCGATTTGATCAAGCATGACTCGACCTTTATAACCAGACAAAAATAAGCTAAACATTTTACTGTCGATATATCGATAATAAGTTCATCCTATATAACAACTATACTGACCTAGTATAAACCCCAAGGGATTTAATGAAGTTCATCCGTCTATTAAATTCACGTATGAGGAAGAAAATAGAAGTAAAATAGCCCTTCTAGGTGTTCTACATACGAAGAGAGTAGATTGGTCACTAAGGCGAAACTTAAACAAGAAAACCACTTGGACCGGCCAATATACACATTTTCTTAGTTTTGTTCCTCTATAATACAAAGGGAATCTTATTAAAACACTTCTCTATAGAATCAAGGCTATATGCCGTTGAAGAGGAAACAAAGGTATTAAGTACTACCCTGAATAAAAACGGATATCCAGAAAAATTTATAAATAAAAATTCGGCTAAGAAAAGAGGGCACAAGGAGAACCTAAATGTGATCAAAAATTCGTTGTATATGCGTAAATTTTAGAGTTAATTCACTTAGTGAAATGATGATGCTAAAGTTGCACAGAACAACTCAAAAAATCTTTATTGTGGGTCAACCACAATTATTGTGTTTACACGTCCGATGATCATTTCGAGATCGAAAGATAAATTGCCTAGACTAGACACCTGTTTCTGTATCTAACAATTCAACTGCTCTTGTGGAACAAGTTATATTATTAAATTGGATATCTAATTGTAGGACCTGTAGAGAATTTATTGAAAAAAAATTCTTACTTTACACATCTGTGTTCCCATATCTATCAATAAATGATACCACTCTCTATCTTTCTTAACACAGCTTATGTTCATTTGATCAAGCTCGGTCGAGTCTGTACGACTGCAGAAATTATCTTTCTAGATACAACCAATCCACACTAACCGATAGTGTGAATTCAGTTAAAATTCAAAGCATGTTCATCCATAACATATACAAAGTGGAAACTTACACCATCAGTTGGTTTCATTCGATAAATATTCGATGTATTCAATAAAGGGAGCCCGATTACGTTGAAATAAACAACTAGAAGTATACAAACAAATATTGGCGACGATTAAACTTGATTGACTGTTGAGATGTTAATTTTAATCTTTATTTATTGTAATCACAAACTTTCATTAAAAGTTTGCTATTCATAGGTATTTAATTCATCATTCCTAATTTCTAAACTTAAGTCGACCACATACTTATCTATGATGTACAACAGCTAGGTTCTAATGCTAACACTTACATTTAGTTAGGTCATTTCTAAGTATAACTAATTATAATCAATACAATGTTTATTGAGAAAAAAATCAGAGAATGAGGAAAGTGTATTCTAACCACTTCGTTATGGTGGTGAACCTCAAGTAATTGTATTTCAAGATTTGAGCGATGAATCACTTGTAATGATACCAATTTAATGTTTCTCAAACCATCTCAAATCTGTTACAGATTTTTATTTGTAGGTAGTTTTATTGTATATTCTGAAGCTTAATTAAGTTCTCCATACTTCATGTTTCATTTTATGAAATGTCCCTCGAATTAATTTACAAATTATTTATGAGCTTTCAAAGGGAACAAATATAACTAATCATCACCTGTTTGTTTAATCGATTTCAACCTGAATTCATTCCAATTCTTGATACATATTAATGAAAGCGTCTTTGAATATAAAAATTCTAAAAATAATTTTCGACTTTTGAACAACAAGATAAATCAATGTATTGATTTGTCATCTAATACTCATACAATGCACAGCATTTTATATTGTAACTACCGGTAGCTTTATAGTTCGAGAACATTTGAACCACTACTAGCGTACTGATAAATACTTTCGGTAAAAAATTATCAAGATAAGCATCACTGCAAGATTTTCTTCGACGAAAACTATCCTTTACATTTTCAGTATATATATATATATATATATATATATATATATATATATATATATATATATATATATCTTGAAACTCACATAACATTGCTCCGATAACCATTTCTACAATAAGCAGAAAACGAAAGCAACTAAACCAGAAAGGTTTCTCAAAATATTTGACCACTAGACAACATCCAAATAATACTGACAGAACATGACACGTAAAGTTCCCAACTGTCATCAGATAGTGTATATCATTGTAATTCTCCATCTGTAGATTGGAAATAAAATAAACTCATGAAGAATTAAAGTGAAACAAAACCTATTCAAATTTCTAACAATTCATTTCAACCTATTTCATTTTAGTGCTCCTTACTTGCATATTCCTTACTCATTTATAACTTTTGAAACTTAAATTTGTCAAGTTAAAATTATTTGTGCTCTTATAAACTAACAATGACTTCAGTTTTAAGTCATATGATTTCATTGATTATAAAAACTCTGATCAAACACATAATTTAGTTATTAACAATGATTCACTACTGGGTAGCAACATATATCATGTTTTTTCAGTACCCGGTCTTGACTGAATTCCATTTATCAATTGAAATATGATCACTGGACTAATTAATTCGATGTAGCTTGTACTGTTTTTGATGACGGTGGAAGCTAACAAAATACTGTAAGCTCAGTGATGACGTCTCTGACTGTGACACCAGGTGGCAAACGTTCAAGTACAAAGTGTGACTAATGGATTCATTCGTGTATAGGTATGACTATAGTTATACCATAAGCATGGGTTGTTACATCTTGTATTTTATATAACTGTTGGTAAATAAGCTAACTTTCTAAAGTTATTCAAAGAACGATCCGAAGTTTCAAGAAAAGATATTAATATAGTTATTGGAAATACATCTTTTTACTGATGGACTTTAACTTAACCATTATGGTGTAAATAAAGGCCATATTCAAAAATAATTGTTTATTACTAAACCCTGATCTACTGCGTTTCAGTTTCACTTAAAAGTTTATAAAACTCTTCATGAACTCGGCTGTTTTCTTTAAAAGAAGTCTTAACAAATAAGCAAATGAAATCAAAGAATATGTAGTATTATGTATCATAAGTTGGAAGAATTTAAACTGGCGACAGTCTCATGTATTAAGAATCAATGCATTCCTGTCGATTTATTGGTCTGATGTCAACCAATCCATCAATAGCTGAGCTTTCCGTATCTTTAACATAGTAAACCGTACATTGAAACATTTAATGCGTGAAAACGAATGTCTTGTTATTCTATGCGTAATAATTCAAGAACTGATGAAAATAGTAACAATTGATTTCCGAAGTTTCTTGTAGTAAATAAGAAAAAAGAACTGTGATTTGTGTGCTCAAGAACAAGAGGTTTGCACCGACATCCGTTCAGAACTATGAAATCATACAGATATTTACAAAATGTATTTTAAATTATTTAATAATGATTTCGACTGTCCCACTGTTAACATTTTCGATGAACATCAACTGTGAGATGCAGGTATGCCAAAATGACGAATCCTGAATAGGACAAAATGTACGTCTTAGATTTCACTGATAATCACATTCCATCATTTTTACATAAACTTGTACTTTGCTATGAATCCGTGAAAGACAAAATGATTAAATATTTGATTTAACATAAGAAACGGCTAAAATGTTGATATTTCATACTGTGAATAAACAGGTTTCGTAGATACCAGTTGAAGTAGAATCATTTCCTTCAAATATTGGTGATACATAAAGATAGTAGTATAAATCATTTGCAGTTTATTCACTAAATTATGACTGCCCCCATATAGGTCCATCGAAAGCACAAATGGATTATTACAAGTGAAATATTCTCACTAAATAAAACAACTTAACCTTTAATTAAATCACAGGTTTAAAAGGAATTCATTGCATTTCAATTGCGTAATTAATTACCATTATCTATTATTATTGACATTCTGTGTTAGTGAGTAAAGTAATGCTTGTAAGTCTGTATTGAGTTAGTCAGTATAGAAAACAAAATCAATAAAATCCTCTCCTGAGAAATTGTCAAACTTTACATTGGCACAACATTTCATTAAAACCATGATTATAGTTGACAATCTATTATGACAGCAATATTAGAAATTACTCTCGAGTAAAAATAAAAATAAACTCACATCGAAAATCGATAGACCAATTAAACACAATCCAGAAATGATCATTAATAGTCTGATAAATGAGTTGATTAGATGAGGAATAAGAGATTTGGTCATAATTACAATTTTACTTCTAGCTATCTTGAACCAAAAACAGTTTCCCGCCATATCTAAAAACAAATGGACAAAGTAAAGCACTATGTAATGTGTTGCATATATATAAATATAAGTTGAACAATATGTCCCAACCACACTCTTTTTAATAGAAGTGAAGATCATTACTTAACTAGACAATTTTCACATTGAAATAATTCTGTATTGACGATCGACGATCATTATATTCACTAATGAAGCTGGTCACAAATCAGCTAGACAAATGATGCTGATGAATTGATTTGCATACTGTTCATGCTATTTAGTCGTTATTATTTGCAATTAACTTCTAAATGTCATATTTCAAAATCATTTAATCTATCACATGTATACCAGCATTACCACAATAGAGAAATACAGCTACACGCAATAACTGTGTACTGGTGCAAATGCTTGTTTAGTGTGCCTCTTCATTTTGACGTCAGTTAGATCAGACGATGATGTTATCGACAGGCTCATCACTTTGAGTGGCCCGATATCTCACTCTATTTAAATCGTATTATTATTATTGTTATTGAAATATACATTCCGTCATTCCTCATATAGAAATATCGACCTAACTCGCGTTAGTGAGTAACACAATTTAATAAGTCAAATACGAGAATGAATTTCGAATACCTACTATATTCTACAATTGTGGATCAGAACGGATAATCAGAGAGATAGAGAGAGCAAGAGAGAGAGTGAAGGACGCGAACTGGATAGAGTCTAGCGAAATTAACTGGAGAAGTTATAAGAGCCAATTCATTTTAGTTAAATGTTACTCAATATCTGTAGCCGAATCGAATCGAGGTGAAGCGAATAATTAACAAGGTCAAAATGTAGCTTGAGAAGAATGAATAAATTGGTTTGTCCACAAGCTAGAATAAGCTATATAGGCTTGACATGGCAGCCGACAAATGTTTTCTTCAAAATCATTTCAACCATTCATCGAAAATCACTGAGAATTAGAGTACATAATTGTTCTTTATAAACAAATGAGATAACTACTATCTAGTCAGAAAACCTATAATATTTAGAGAACAAACAAATAATGAAAACATACATTCACTCAGTCAATGAAATCAGTTTATCCACTTAACCACTGTTTGAAATTTTCATAAGCACACCTCTAGTCTCAAATTTATAGAAAGATTTTCTTCATGTATTATAAGGTAACTGATTAGCATGGTTAAAATCCCGTTGCCGTTATGAAAATGTGTATCTCTCATCATAATTTGAGTTTCAATATTGCATTACACCTCTTGTTCATGAATTTAATTCCTGATTTCCAAGTGATACTGCTCATTTCTAGTCTTCTTAATTATATCTGATACCATTATGATAACGACTCCTATCCTATTCACCACAGTAATCCCATCTCTCTTTGCTGATACAGGGGAACAACTTTGGTAGATATCACTTTTTCACGGATCTTAAGTCTAGCATGATTCAGTGATGAGGTCGAATTTATGAGATCGAAGTATATTGTGTTAAATATTGAATTTTGTCAAGCTGATCGAGAAACAGTGTACTAATATGCAATACCTTTTAACGGGTACTGGAAAATGTCTAATTTATGTTGATGAAAAACAATCTCATCAGGTTCTACAATTAGAAATCCAAATTAATAATCCATAAAATTGGCCAGATTTAAGGCAAAATGCATCATTTGGAAATTGTAATATGTGAATCAGGAATTGTTTGTTATATAAATAAAATCGTTAATGTTGGGGCGGTTTAATCTGAAGTTGTTAACTTGAATCAGTTTATAAGCGAAATAAAATTATGAGATAAACTATCAGAATAAATATGGTCAACATGGGGTAAGAGAGAGAAAGAGAATATTGTGATTATAAATCGGAAATTATGTATTATGTAAAATAATTAGGTCAAATATAGTAGATTCAGGGGTGGATATTGAATAAATTCCTCAAAAAGGGGTTATCAAGTGTAAAGACAATAATAGTAATAATAATAATAATAATAATAATAATAATAATAATAATAATAAGTTTGGAACTTAAAATGAACATTAATCAGATTACGTCACCACATTATAAGATTGATTATTAGCTAGTTGGCCAGGGTAAAAGAAGTGGCTGAACATACTTCTTTTGGATACAAAGCTCTGGCTTTTTGATCCGAATAGCAATTGCTCTAGCCGTCTGTAGGATTCGCAGTCTGACGGAATTAGGTAGACTGCTGTTGACACGACAGACTATTGCAAAAGATTGCTCCATGTTTGCTGTATGTTCTGTTTGGACTAAATGGTCTTAGATGGAGCTGTTAACAGTTTTGACAACACCTTTGCTTAACCACTTGGGTAGGTGCTCACGAGCCCGAATGTACAAATTCCTAGAACATCTGCCAATACAACTTGCCCCAGAGGAGCAGTTGAATTGATAAATGCAGAAGGAGGTGGCTAGTCTAGGTAATTTATCTTTCAACCTCGGAGTGATTATTGGTCGTGTGGAAAATACTAGTTGTAGTTTAGCTGCATTACAAGTCCTTTGAATTGATCTACTTAACTTAAGTCTTAACATTTCACTCGGCGCGTCGCTGCTGAATTGTAAGCGTATATATATAGAGGCTTTTTATTTACCGTTGGACATTCTCTATGCTGTCTTTTATTGGCTAAGTTTTTATTTATAAATTTCTCCGGATATCCATTTTCTTTCAGCGTTGTAAACAATGTCTTTGCTTCATCTTCAATCGTATCCATAGTGCATATAGTCTTGATTCTATGATGTAGTGTCTTGATAAGGTTCCTTTTTTGTTGTAGAGGAACGAAACTGAGAAAGTTAGTATATTGACCCATCCAGGTCATTTTCCTGTTTATGTTTCTTTTTAGCGATCCATCTTTTCTCCTTGTAAGCAGAACATCTAGGAAGGCTATTTTACCCCCATTTTCTTTTTCACATGTGAATTCTATGGATGGGTGAGCTGTATTGAATTGCTCGAGTGTTCTTATCAAGTTCGTATGCTCGTTACAAAGGATAAATGTGTCATCCATATATCGACAGTACAATGAAAACCTATAGATCTTTTGTGCCAGTGGGCCGTTTTCTAGTTTAGAAAGGAAAATGTCTGCCAATATGGGACCCAGGGGTGAACCCATTGCGACGCCATCTATTTGTCTGTAGATTTCACCATAGAATTTGGAATGTACATTCATAGTGCATTTTAGTAATAATTCTCTGATGGTCTCCACGGGGATTGTCGTTTCTAGTTCCTGTTCTCTAAGTTGTTCACAAATATATTCTAGTTTCTCTGAGTGGGACATTTGTGAACAGTGATACTACGTCAAAGAAAATTATCGTCTGATCTTTCGTGTTTATGTTTTTAATCCTGTCAACGAATCGGAATACGTCCTTATTACTATGTTTTACCGGGCGATTATGGAGTGGTTTCAAAACAGTTACTAGCCACTTTGCTACAGTATGATATGGGGAATCGCACATGTCCAAAATTGACCTTAATGGGATATCCGGTTTAGCAGTCTGTATAACCTAGGTAAATGTGTACCTATCGGCTTAATTGTTTCGTATACGTCTTTTGGAATCATCTGTTGATCTCTGAGCTTTTTTAAGGTTCGGGTCAGTTCAGTCTCTATCTTATTATTGACATCTTTTTGGTTGTTCAGTTTCTGAAATTTTTGAAGATCATTCAAGATGTTATTCGTCTTGTCATTGTATTCTTTTTTGTTAAGTAAGACTGTTCCTGTTCCTTTATCGGGTTTTGTGATAATAAGATTCTCATGACTAATGAGCTTCATGAAAGCCTCCCTGTGTTTCTTAGTTAAAATACTTCTGTAGTTATATATACTATTCTTAAACTGATAGTAACAATCAACTAGGTTTGATTTGAAACGTTCAAGTTCCTGATCAGAGGTCGGGACCAGATGTGATGTCTGACGATTTAGGTTTTCAAATTGGATGTCCGTATCGATTTGATTTACGCGGTTTCGTGTATCACAGAATTTTAGGCCAAGTGCTAATACTTCAAGTTTTTCTTTATTTAATTCAGTACCGGAAAAACTGTGCACATACCTTTTTGGTTCGGTGGGAAATTTATTTTCAATGATGTATTTTGCCTTAAATCTGGCCAATTTTATGGGTTATTAATCTGGGTTTATAATTGTAGAACCTGATGAATATTCTTCGTTCATACAATTGTGTTTTAATATAATGAGAATTTTTCAGCGATGAAAAACAATCTTTCTGAAGAAAGTAACTACATATATTTTTAGGTTTTTAATTGAATTTACATAGTTTTAAAACGTGTTGTAAATCATATTACTCACTGAATAGAGCATAGCTAATCATCAGCACTCGAAACCAATGTTTTTCTGGTGGAAATACGCCAAATGAACTATAAATATATAAGCAAAGGATTTGCAGAAAATTGTTTAAATGATACCGATTTGCGATTTTGAAAACTTTTATTCAAATGTGTTTTGAAGAGATAGAAACTAATTAAGTTTTTGAAATGGCATTACAAACCTGAGAAAACCTATTTTTTTCTGAATATACAAAAACATTAATTAGAGTTTGTAATTTACAGTACTTTTAGTTGTTCTAATTAAGTGAAAGGTATTTATAGACATTCCATAAGTATAAAGTAATAATAAATCTAAATATCCCCTTCATAATTTGCCATCAAAATCAAAAGTATTAAATTCAAGTAAACTATTATTGCATATACTTTTTCAGAAAATCATTCTCATCATTTATCAGTCCAACTTAGTCAACATGAGAATAACTTCGTTAATGAATGATTTATATGTCCTTTTTCATTATGATATCTCAATTCTATATACAGATATCGATTTTTACTTTATCCAGATTACTGATTGTGTATTCAACTTGTTAAGTGTCAAAACAACTACCTTGTGGTCAATGATTTTGATTTCAGAATTCCAATCTCATTACTAATTTAAATTTCTATCATATTTTGTAATCTCATGTGATGTAAACATGTGATGCTTAAATTTATTCTTTAAACTTTCGTCAATCGTCACTCATCATAATTTATGATGATGGTTATCATAGGTTATTCTAACCTTAGGACAGACCAATCTATTCATCCTTCTCAAGCCACATTTTTAGCTTGTCACTTATTCGCTTATTAAGCCTGACCTTTTTTTATATGATCGTATGTTAATTACTTACCCTATTCATCATATGTCTATGACTTATTTTTCTTTGACGATGGATATCGAGTGGTGTTTGATCAAGTCAAGTTGGATAACTCGCTTTCTCTGCTGCGTGTCACCTCGTTCCATTACTCTTTGTTGCCTTCAATCTACGTCTGATTTTGTGTTCAAAACAACGATTCCATAAAATATACGTATTCAAAATCCATTCTTATATTTGCTTTATTTAATTCTTTTGATACTGAAGCCGTTAAATAAATAACATAGCAGTAACTTTGAGCACACTAATTTAGTTTGATTATTGCTATGCTGTTTCATATTTCTAGTTTGAACTAATGACCTTGCCAATAATACAACTAAATTCCCATAAATCTTATGATACACATTTTCATTTGAATACATAGAGATTCCTAAACCTCGTGATTTTTTGAATAAAAACTTTCCAGTTTTCGAGCATTTATCGTTAGGCATCTAATTATAAAGAATTTAGCAGTCATTTGTTGGTTAGAATGATATGAAAAAATTTTATAATTGTTATTTTTTGTGGATTCTGCCAAAATAAATTAGTTTACACATTAAATTAAAACGCAGAATAGCAAACATGGTGGCATTATAAAAAATTGATGTTATTTCGTTGAAATCGCAGTCAAAACTATGCAATATTGAATTCTTATTGTTTATTTACCTACGCCTGTTACCCCTCATCGATGAGCATAGGCCGCTCACCAACATTCTCGATCATACTCCCTCCTGTGCAATCCTTTCCAGTTGCTAGAAATACTTGTAAATGTTTGATGATGGTTGTGGTAGTTCTCGAAGTTTCAGCTTGGTACAATAAAACTGACTGTCTTGATGTTCGTATTAAAGATTAAGACTTTGATTTTGATTGACAGTTGTTCTGATTTGCATATGTTGTTCAACTGTAAAAATGCTGCCTTTACTTTGCAAATCCTGACCTTTACATCTGCATCAGATCCTCCTACTTCATCGGTGATGCTGCTCCAATAGGTGCGTGTAGGTCTGCACCTCTCCTGGAGCTTCTCCACGAAGTGTGATTGAGTTGGTGTTCTCCGTGTTATATTTAAGGATCCTGCTTTTTCCTTTGTGGGTTTAGGCCTACTAATGCAGAGACTTCTGCTACACTAGTTGTTTTGACCTGAATTTGTTGTTGTGGGCGAGATAAAAGAACTAGGTTATCTGCGAAGCCCGAATCGTCTAGTTGTATGCAAGCTGTCCATTGAATTCCGTGACTCCCTTGAGTTTTGGAGATCTTCATAATCCAGTCAACCATCAGAAGAAAAAAATGGTGAGAGTAAGCAACATTGTCGGACGCCGGTTCTCAGTTGAAATTCGTCTGTCAGCTGTCTTCTATGCACAACTTTGCACTGTAGTCCGTCGTTTAAATTCCGTGTGATATTGGTGATTTTCTCAGTTACACCGTAGACTCGAAGAAGGTTGTCTTATTCACACTGTCAAATACTTTCTCATCCTACCATATGGAAAAGACATATTAGAAATTACAACGACATTTCCGAAGCCTTTTCGAATAGGTGTATCCCACAAACCGACAAAATCACTTCGATCAATCCTATGCAAACCAAAGAACGAAATGATAAAAGAATAAAAACCAAACATCATCTACAAAATAACTGTTCCAACTGCGAAAAACACCCCATCAAACAAAGCGGATGCCCTCTTTATCTTCACATGCACGAACATGAATTGGCGATCAAACGCCATGACGTATAACCAAGAATCGAATAATTGGGAGGTACAACCAAAATAAAGTGGTAAACAATGACAGGTTAAAGGTTAACAATGCTGTGAACCGTATGTGGAGAAATCCGAACGCTTCACTTCTACCTGAATTTTGTGCTGATGATGTCGTTCAGAATAAATATGAAAGCTCTACGACCAAACCATCCAGCTCAGCGAACAAAATTCTACCAAAAAAGTTAACACTTCATATTAGTCATCCCAATGTTAACGATTTTATTTTATTTTATATGACAAACAATCCTTGATTCATATATTATGATTTTAAATGATGTACCTTGTCTTAAACCTAACTAATGTTTTTGGGTTTTAAGCATCTGATACCCATACCTTATGTTTATACCAGTTAAAGTTAATTTAAAACTTTACTGGATTTCAATACCAAGATCATTGTAGTAGTATAAGTTTAGGAGACATGATTAATTTTTTGTTTCATTGAGCATTACTTATTTTATAAAAAGATTGATTATTCGTATTTTTCTCAATGATTTTCTGCCCATCATATTTTGTTTCGTATTTCCAGTGTTCCAGCAGTAACTAATAGATATCAGCCAGTATATCAATGTGATAATGATTTTACAACTGATTTTCTAATTAGTTACAACGAAATTAGTACAAAAACTTACCTAACAAATGGGAATAAACTATTTACATGTTCATAACGCACAGATGTTATGTACCTTCAGAGGAAAAAAAATAATTAATTCTGTTGAGATATGTATATATGAATGTGCAAATTTATATTTAATAAATGAACACAAGTAAAGAAAGTATGAAGTTAAATAAATGTAGTTGGAATGAAGTTAGATTCTATGGAACCCAATAATACATACTTTCAAACTACATTATCATGAGAGCAAGGAATGGGTGCTACTGGGATTCTCTCTTCGACAGGTAAATGATATTCACTGCTTTCTGACTTGTCATAGTTTATGGTTCATCTTCATTTATCTATCATTCACAGACATTTAGTTACCAGATGTGTTTCTGAGAATTTGTAAGTAGAAAACATTGTTATATAGACATCGACATATCCAACAGGGGGAATGAACTATCAACTCATGGTCTTACTTCATGAGAAAACCTCAAATCAGTTTTGTATACGTGGTTTTGCTTTAAGAAGGTAAATCAATATAGCATATCACTCTGATATTTTATACACACTTTTATGAATTGTTTATCAGTTTATCATTATAATAAAGACCTTAATTTTATCAGAACACTTTCGTTAAGAAACACTTTCCCTCTGAATAGTTAATAATAATGTAAAAGTAGTTTATACAATGATTTTGAAAAGTAATCTATGAGCCTGTAGAAAATCGTGTATCATGTTTATTCAGTATGTAGCTCAATTCATCAATGATAAACTAACAAAATTGGGTGGTTTAAAAAAAACAAAGCTTCTTTAATTCAAGTAAATTACAATCACATTATGGAAAAGATAATAGAAGTGAACTTGATTTTGAATTTCCAGATTTACTCATTGTCAATGTCTTTGCATAATGAAAGTCCGATAAAAATGAGAATGAGTTATGACTTTTAGAGAATGAATATGTGATGAACATAAATCTGTCACTTAACTTCGTTTATTACACATAGGCTAACATCGTTTGTCTGATAGTGGTAATAAGAAGCCAATTACGGGTTACGTCGGATCAATTCATTTCGAGTGTTTGTTTTTAAAAACAGATATCCACAATGATAAACAGGAAAACAAAGTGGAAAATTCGAGTGAGCCAACTCGATTTGATCAAGCATGACTCGATCTTTATAACCAGACAAAAATAAGCTAAACATATGTGACGAATAGTGTGGGCGATACTCACAAGCTCATAGAAAACCAGTCAAGGTTAATAAGCGAATAAGTGACAAAGTAAAAATATGATTTGAGAAGACTGAATAAACTGGTTTGTTTGGAAGTTAGAATAACCCATGTGGGTTTGACATAGTACTAGACATTAGACTACTCTACAGGTTACCAATGCACCACTGATGTTCGAGAAATTAATTTCCTTATCATTGTGATTAGTTGTTTGTTTGAAAAACGATTCACGTTCATACAGACTTTAGTAAACAATCAATTTTCCAGTTTATCTATCTACTAAAATTTTCTTTAATTATACTGAGGTGTTAAGCTACAAGTGCTTCTAAGCTTACGTATTTCTGCATAGATTTATTGATACACTTGTCAATATTAATTCAGATAGTGTAATTTTCGAAATTTATTCATATTAAAGCAATTCAAGCAGATTTGAAGACAGGCTTCAAACCTCATCGGTTTAATAAATATATAGCAAATATTAACCACAAAAATATTCGACATTTTTATTGAGAATTATAGTTACATGAAGTGCTTCATATATGATATCAAATTATTGTCAACTCGATGTCGCTTTCTTTCAATAGGTTTGTAAAATAAACATTTAAAACAAGAATTCATATAATTAGCTTACAATGGAGGTAATCCTAAAACAGCGATTGCAAAAGCAGTTTTAGAAAACCATAATGGTTTAAATTTTCTCCGACAAATTAACATTCAACTTTAATAATATTTCTCACAAGTTGAGTTAAAATCTAAAATATAAAAAAGTCATAATTCTCAATATATATATATATTACGAGGCTGCAAATACAACTGTCGAGTGGATTTTAGAAAACATAATTTTATTACTCTTAATAAATGTATGACTTTTGAATGTCCTCGAAGTACAACTGTATTTCAGAAAACTATAAATCGATCATTTACTCAGATAAGAAACGTGATCACTAATTCAGAGCATTTTATCTTTAAATATTATGAACTAGAATAATTAAGACTGATAATACCAACGGAACATAACCATTTGAGTCACATGTCTGATTTCTTTAATCGGTATTGATTATATCAGTGTAACATGAAAATGTTAGTTTCAAGATTGATACAAATAATAAGATGAGAATGGGTCCACATCACGTTTATTCAATAGTACTATTAACCATATAGACTAAAAATGATGAAAAAAGCTTTTCTATAAAAGGTATATCAGTGATCCATTTTAAAATGTAAACCTAAATTATAAGTTATATTCATAGGTATTGTGCCTTAATTTTATAACTCCATGTAAAAAAAACTTACATTCTGACCTGATAAATTAAATATGATAAATAAGTAGTAAATAAACAATCATAAATAAATTCATTGAATCATGTAAATATAACATACTCATTATAAAAGACACTTCTTAATTGTATTTCAATCATATTTTCTGTTTGTCTGCTGAAATTTAAATTATACAATTTCTAATTCATAATAAACCATTAAAAGTTTTATAATATTGAAAATGATAATGAGTTTACCATATATATTTACGTCTATTAAGTTTGTGTTTTGATTTGTTGATTTCAAAAAAGAATCTCTGAATATCTGTCCAGTAATAACTTTCGAGTAAGATAGCAGGAAAGAATTTCCGACTATTAAGGCGTGTAAACTTTGTGTGCTGGAAAACTTACAATTCAATACTTGATTTCATATAATGAGTAATTTAAGTTTCTCTTAATTCAGACCATTTCTATTCAAAATAATTAAGCTATGCTGCCAATAGGATAATGGTTAATGATTAACTACAAGTTATTACTAACTAAAAAAATCCTAATTAATTCAATATAAGAACTCCACCTGCAGCCCCTCTGAGGCTGCTACCGGTCCCAGACCTGGATAAAGGAGGGGAGTTGAGCATGGTATTAGAGAGCTAAACCTGTAGAAAACTAACTCGCTAAAAAACGCTAACTAGAAAACAATTCATATTTTAAAACTAAAATCCAATTCATATTGATTAACCTTCAATAAACTAATAAACGATTAATCATTAGTTTGTTTCAGTTCACTCAATGACTATTACACTCTAAATAACATTGCCTTTCTTATAACTATGAAAATGAATTGCTTTCAATTTTCTGATGATATCATCTTTGCCACCCTAATTGACAAGATCATATCTACGTAATGAAAATAGTTACAATCATCGAATGCGTATATATTTAATAAAATACAATAATTCGCATGACTGACAACAACTTTCCTGAAATCATGTGTTACAAGCAATAACTTTTACTCATTATTACATCATAGTTTTATCAATACTTATTACAATATTTATTGTGTATGCATAAGGATAATACAAATCTCAAATAATTTTCTTTTTTTAAAATCAATTGGCTACTATTGTTTTTTCAATAATTTTGAAAAGAAATATTTTCCGAAGGGGTTTTGTAGAGATTTTAGAAAGTTCACTGATTGAAATCATGAGTCAATTGAAGCTAGACCACCATGGAAAACCTGGAAGATACTGGATGGCCGTTTCGTCTTAGTATGGGTCTCCTCAGCGGGACGCATCCACGATTCCGCACCCGCGAGATTCGAACCCAGAACCTGTCATTTCAACTACTGAAATTATTAAAATCTCCAACACCCTTTCTGATATTATTATTATTGTTATTAAATTTTCTAAGCTTATTAGATTGGTAAGTTCAAATAATTACATCATTCGATTTCTTTCAATTAACTTCAAAATTATTTAATATCATATTGTATATTTACTTAATAGTGATCATTTCTTTCTTCTAACAACTTTTTTTTCAATAATTGAAATCATGAGTTAATTGAAGCTAGACCACCACAGAAAACCTGGAAGCAATGGACGACCGTTTCGTCTCTCAATAAGACGTCCAATGCTTCGAGATTTTTTTATGATGATCTAGCTTCAACTGATTCATGATTTCAACGATTAAAATTTCTAAAATCTCCACAAAACCCCTAGGACAAAACGACCATCCAGTGCTTCCAGGTTTTCCATGATGGTCTAGCTTCAATTGACTCATGATTTCAATCAATGAAAAAAATATTTATTTATTTATTTATTTGTTTATTTCAAAGCTGATTTCATTCATAATAAGAATATTAAATGACATTGAAAACGATACTATCAAATGCTATTCACCATTTGAATGTGATCAAGTTTAAACATGTTTATTTAATTAAGCTTATTAATAATAATTAAAGTAGTCATTTTCAATATCATGATATCTTGAATAGATTTTGTATAATGACTTAATTATTTGACTCCATATAAATCTATATGGATTAGTTACTGAACAAAATAAAGATAAATTATAGTCAAAAGATATTGATATATTTAAACACTCAGTGAATTAGACAATTGATTTGAACTTGTTCTCATTCTAATAATAAGTAACAATTACTCAGCTAATAAAATATGTTTATTTATTTATTTATGTATTTGAAACTTGCTAATTAAAACAAAATGAGATAAATAGGAAATGTTAAATATTCCATTTGTTTTCCTGATATTTTTCTAATATATATCAACATTGGCTTGCCTAACGATAGTCTAAAGGAATATTATATTAACAAATTTGACTTAGAAAATAACAAAAAATTATTTTGCACTCAATGTATACGTAACAACATGGATCGGATAAAAGTATTGAAGTTTATATCATATGTATGTATTCATTATTTTAATAATGAGTATCTATTCACTATACATTATGTGTGCTTTATTGATCAGTTATATTAATCATTAACTTTGATATAAATTTCAGCACTTTAGATTTTAAGAAAGTCGAAGATACTGAAATATTAATTAGTAGATGAACCAATCTTAACACTTTTTATCATTTTAAAACTACCCAGTAAAAAGGCATTTTAAATCGCGTTCTAAATCAAACTTATCCAGTTAGTACTGGCATTTAAAAGACTTAAGGATGTTCGTTTCCCGATAGCAGCTGAACAATCAACTTCACTAGAATCTGTTCAAAAATATAGTACAATTATGAGGTGTTGACAGAGAGTTTTAACAATGTTTTAGAGATTTCAAAGGGTTCAAAGAACAGCTTTACTTGTTGACAATTCCTCTTATCTTCATCATCTAAATACTTAGTCACTATTTTCTGAGAGAGTTAATATATTTGTGAGATAATTACAGCCTGAACAGTCCTCAAACATACGCATTTTAATGAATTCTAGTCGTCATTGTCACAGGACAAGTTACTTAGATAGAAACGATTTTTACGAAAATGTTTTTCTTTTAGGGTTTATTCACATTTGTGAATATGTATTTTCATGTATTTACTTGATTTCATTGTAGATTCAACAGATCACCACGTCAAACAAACGTGCTGAAACACACTCTCGAACGAATAAAAAAGATTATTCTTTCCTCTTCATAACCTGACCCGTACTTATAGGACTTCAGGAAACCACTCTTTAAATGCGAAATCAACATAATGATGAAGCACAAAGTTCAGTCACCATCAACTTCATTCTCTGTAAATATGGACGTTTAACCTACATAATTTGACTGACATAACCTAATATTGTTTAAAAAGTATCTAATTGTATCTGATTCACACATTATTCATTCAAAGTGAGAACATACGGTCTCATTTTTCCGAGTTTATACTAACATACTAAGTTAATTTTCAATAGATTAAGAGTACAGAGCAATATTTGACGTCTCCATTATTATTATTATTATTATTATTATTATTGTTATTATTATTATTATTATTATTATTATTATTATTATTATTATTATTATTATTATTATTACAAAGTCATACACTATGGTGTCCCAGAAAAAATCATAGGCTTCGAAAACCACTGAATCTAATCCTAATTAAATTCTAATAAATTTATCCATTTATTAAATGTATGGTTCCAGTTTCAACCAATCTTTTATAAATAAACATCTTTTTAACCATCTAGTTTCCAAATTCTAAGTAAACTGCATAATGTAGCAAAATCGATTTGATGATTGTAGTCTGCAAGGAAATCTAACAATAAGTAGTGGGATGCCGACGATTGTAGAACGTATTTGATAAGCTTTCACATAATGTACAGGAAGATTGCAGGTAATGTACTACTTTTCAAGGTATGCGTTGAAATCTGACTGGAATAAGTTGGTTCGAATAGGTGTAGCATTTCTTCCATAATCAATGTGATTACATAAAATAACATTCCAAGCAATATAAAGTTGGTAAGTCAGTGGAATGTGAAAAGCAAATATGAATTAAAATAATGATTAAAATAAAACCACATTTCTCTTACACACAAAAGTCATGGTCATCCGTCCTTCCCTACATTTTGAGTAATTCAACTCCACCTAATACTATACTTATACCCCAAGATTTCATCGGTATAATTACTATCCGTACAATTACTCATCAGTCACGTAAATTTAAGAGTCACTCCTTAAAATCTCAGATTCGTTTGAATCATTTGGTGGCCATCTAGTAATGACTGCAGCGTGACATTCACGAAACTGTGATTATTACTCGTTTGTTCGAAATGATTAAATCAATCCATTCACACTCACGATAGTTCATGTTAAAAACACATTCGTAGTAACCAAACATTACTTACGTCAAATTTAAGTGAGCTACCACTCCCTATATGACATTTGCTGAGCTAAAATCTCAGATTTCAGGATTTGTTTTTCACATAATTTTCAACAGAACTAGCACATTTACCAAAGTAGGATCGGATGAAGACTTACTTCCTGGTTTGATTTTCCTAAAACAAAAAATATTACGAATTACGATGAACTAAATTATATTTGTAAGGTAATCTCAACTGTGTTGGTACAACTTATTGTCATACATTCTATTTGCTCAATTCGCTGTTAAAATGAACAGATTTTCCATCAACTAAAATATACACTTTTTAACTGTATGTCATTTGAGCATGTACAACTGACTCAAGATTATTTTTCATTATTGATTATGGAAAAACTGATTACTGAAAGTCATACGTGTGTAAAGTTTGCAAGCACTTTACAAATATTCACCCTGATGTTCATCATGTGCCGTTTTCACTTAGTAGGAAACTACACAGATAACAACAACTTGCCATTTTCGAGAATAGGGACAGTCTATGATGATGATGTCATGATAATATTACCAAGTACTGATATAATTTCTACCATCTTCAAACACACATTTTAGTCATTTGTTTGAAATAAACTATTATTTTAGATAAAAAGCAGCATTATATCGAGCCATTCCAAATAACACGACTTCAATATCAGACAAATATCATCAGTACTCACTAAGCAACTATCTTTTATCCATATCATCTCTATCTTCATATTAATAATTCATCGTAATTAATACAGCATACAACATTTCACCTTTACTTACTCTGTTCTAATCACTCACATTTAAAACTATCATTAACTTGTACATTTATCAATTGAATCATCTAATCCAAACGAATTATCGCAGTATCCGACTAGTAGGCATTGTCTCTATGCATATACTTGTAATGAAGTTTTACCAATAATATTTAATACACCAAACACTATCATTATCAATTATCTGTCTATTCATTAGCTGAAATTATAACATTTAAAATGAGTAAACAAATGAAATAAATTAATTAGTAGCAGTAAACTTACTTTTATACACAATCAATCTTTAATCGAATGTTAATGTGAATTGCTTCATTTAAAATCGAGAATATCACAGTATAACCGCAAGCGTGCAAACTATTTTATAACACAATACACATGACGCTTTCCTCCAGTAAAACATAATCATGATTTTAACCAATCAATCAAGAAGTTATTAAGAAATGTTATTAAGAATATTGATTTGTGTTTAGAATACATGTAAGCTAGCTATCGATACTTGTTGATACAAGAGATATGATTGAATGAATTATTGTTGATAAAGTAGAATATACTTGAAGTAAATAAATTCTCTTGATACATTCCAATCAGGAGAGTGAGTTTTATTTTTACTTCTGTTTGCAATGATAAACACAAGATGTAAATACAATTTTGTTTTAATTTGCTTACAGTACATGATATTATGTTGAATACTTGGCGTATTTAAAATAACGTTGAAATGAAGTCGTGAAATAATAAATATTTTCCAAAAAGAAAAAAAACTGAGAAGCAACTGTCTTTTGATACCTACTTTTAAGAACTTTTGTCTGGATAGAAACACGTTTACAAAATATACAATATATATATATATATATATATATATATATATGAACGGGAATACTTTGGAAATTGATGTAATAAAACGCACCTAGTTGCTGAATAACTGACTATAATCCTCTTGATAATTGACACTGTTTCAAGCTTATTTTATGTTACCTCTCAAACTCTAAAGTGATTTAAAGACTGACATGACCCAGAAAGTATCTAATATTTAGCAATTTGTAGTACAAACCACCAAAACAGATAGTCGAATATAATGCAATATTTAAATCCTTTTTGTTTCTTTTTATGTATTTTTGTGAAGTTTAAATCACTTCCATTCGTTAAATCTCATGTTAAGATCAGTAACACAATCCAAGCAATATCCTTTCTCTTGTTTGTTTGTGCTCGTTAACCCAGAACACATGGAATTAAGATCCGAAAGTGAATGAAGACTATTTACTAAAGTTATAAATCGAAGTTAGCTTATCAGCGTAATACATAAACGTCATTTACGAAAAGAAATGATTCTTGAACATGTTATGTGAACCCGAAATTCTGTGTGATAAATTAGAATGAGTGACTATTGGTTTTGGATTATTCTACATGTTACTGATTAATTTCAGTTGTGTTTAACAGTAAAATCCACAACGTATGTTTGATCTTAATGGACTTGTGAGCTGAACTTTGTTGAAGCTGTTCTGATCTTCACTCTATCCAAAATATTCATCGTCAGCTGAGCCAAAACACTTGCTACACTTGTTTCAGTATTTCGAACATTTAACTTATTTATGTGCATTGGTATTCAAATGACTGACAGTGTAAATGTGATGTTTGAAAAATCGACATTTTTTAAAAGGAAAAAGCGTTGCTGAATTAAGTTAAATAGCCAAATTACTGATAATTTCACAAATAAATAATTGATATAAAACCTTATCTTTAATTCTTCTTCTTGAGGATAATATTCATATGGTTATCAAACTAACAGTTTCTAATTCACCATTGCACATATCTTGATGAAATGATGTTACATCCTCAATCTATCTATTTGATAATATACAGGAGAGAACTTGTGTCGATCTAAGACAAGTACTTGACACGATAGGCTTACTGTTGTAACTTGATGCTACAAATGCACGAGTCCAAATTGACGTTAACATCCTTGAGCTGTTGGTTGACAGGTCAGAGAGCAAGAGAGAAGATGAGTCAACCAGAATAGCACTCGATTTATTCTCGGTTCCCAGTTCAGATTAATGTAAAAAGACATGTTAATAAATAGATGATTAACATGATCACAACGTACAAACAATTAGAAAAATACAATTATATCCAAATTGGGCATTAGGGTAGAAAAATAAAGTACGAAAGGTTCCGTTTAAATTATAACAACTTTGGAACAGAAAATGATATGACAGTAAAACATATGTTAAACGAAAGCTTAGTTTTTTGTAAAATAAATTACGGACAAAACTAAATGTTATTGTTTTACGAACTTTGAATGAAGTGAAATAACGTCCCTAAAACTAACTTCCGTTGTTTTTCATAGCTTCATTGTTTCTCTGTTCACATCAAATGATAATAATCAAATAGTTTTCCGTGAAAACAATGAGTTCATTGACAACAACAAATATTTAATTTTGCATGTGAAATACTTGCTGAGGCAATCTTTCCTATATGATTTCTTTTGAATCAACAAACATTTACCATCAAGGAGTACATCATTCAAATTTCTAGTCATTTACAAAATCTTTCATAAGGATAGTCATCATTTTTCAGAAACAGTTTTCAATCTTATCTTAAACCGCTGAATTAGATTATCGTACTCAAATAAGCTGCATAAACATTTTCCAAATTTTTATGTTCAAAACTATTCACAAAAGAAATTGAATTACTAATGAATTTCAGCAGGATTCTCTTAAACACGCAATAAGAAATCAAGATAATTATATGGGTAAATGTAATAAAAGTATTAGAAGGACATGGAAAAATCTATAAGTTTTATGTATCCGGCTTCTGGAGGAAATGTAGCTGAACCTTTAACAATCTGTTATTAAATAAATAAAATAATCTCATTTATATTAGTTCACCTGAGCTTGTGAATTTTGATGAATAATCTCGGGGAATTTCATTACTGTATACTGTTTCGATAGGTATGCGATCGAAAATTCCTGCTGAATATGTGTAAATCAAACCAGATAATTAAGACATCAAGAGAATCTTCCTGAGAATTTATTCTTCTGTAATAGAGTCGATGTTATAAAATCCTCTGGACTATTCAGATTACACAAGGTTTACCGTAAAATCGTCTCTGCTTTGAATAAACTTTAAAATGACTTAGCAAGAAAAGGAAACACTTCATTTTTAAGGCTTACTGACAGAGAGTAACCCAAAATAAACTTCGGCAACGAAAGGCATATAATGTGCAGCAAACTATTTTGAGTACGAAATGTTTTATTACTGAACATTTTACTTCATCATTTAGTGTTTCAAAGTTTGATACATCCTATTGAGCTTATTATTCCTGATTATAATTGTTATTAATTCGGAAAATTGAGCATAATATTCTCCATTTGATGGGAAGATAAATGTGAAACTAGCAACCTACATATCTTATGTTTGAAGATAACAAACGATATTTCAGTGTGCGTTGCTACCTGCCATGCAATCGGCTTGTGCCTGATGCAAGCTGAAGAATTAGGTTATTATCGATCTTCATAATCAGCAACGTAATTTTGATCATCATCTGAAAAGAGGAACGCAGTTAACGAAATGCTTACGATAAGCGAATAGATATTTTAAAATCTTACTGTATGCTCTTAATTTGCAGGCTTACCGTGAACTCTGTAGAGAAACAAGATGATAGTTTCATTGTTATCTACATATCTTAGTATACTAAAGTGATATATATTCATTAACCAAGTAACGATCAAAACAAATGCCACATTTTTCTTTCTTTATTGATGACGCTTTGTGCGTATCCACATTTACATTCAATATCTATTGTTTCTCTATATCGGTTGTAAAATGGACGTAACTGACTGGCTGGTCAATATTCACTGTTGTAAATCGAATAAACTCTATCGCCGCCAAATAAAAATGTGGCCTTTATCTTTTCCTTCACAAAGTTGTTGAATATACATGTCACTATAAACTTCCGTACATAGTGAAAATGGAGAAGTTAAAGTTATGTATTCAATTTTCTACGCAAAAGCATACACAGTAGGTTCAGAAAATCTGAATAGCTTAGGGATAAAAGACGGCATGACATATACGAGTCATTCGTAGGTCTTTATCAAGTTGTGATCTTCCTGAAGGTCGCAGAAACTATGTGAAGTTTGTACAGTTAATACTGAGAATAAAAAATGAACTTAATTTTAAGTCTAATGGGGAAATCTTTGCATTAGATCTCATTTCAAGATGTAGTTCTCTAGAATCCCCCCATATGAATAAGTGAACCAATGGCTCTCCATCCACTTATCGCTAAACAATGTGGAACAAAAGCTTCAAATAAAAATATCTCTTGAATAATTTGTTTCGGGCATACCAGAGACTTAAACTAAATAAAGTTATAAGGGATAATAAAAACCCAAAATGAAAAGACTTATAAACACTTGAAATTGATGTTGATCATATTAGTTTTACTACATGTAAACCAATAGAAGGCGCCAATTTAGTTATCCTAATAAAATAATAATAGTGATCTACTTTTATCAAGAGAACATGATTGGTGTAATGGAAACAATTATTATTATAACCACTTGTACCAGGGATTGTCTTACCGTACTTGTTTGCTTAACTGTACCGAAATACATAAATTCTTCCGCTGATTGTGACCTTGCACGAATTCGGTTACGCTCAGTAACCACACTTGTAACCTGGCACGATCTCGGTATTTTTTCGATACCACGAGATCGCTAACAAATATATCTGGACTACAGCCATCAACTCCCTCCTGATATTTGGCCTACGGGGGATTTTATCGGCTAACTGACACGTAGTCTTCCTGTAGTGGTGATCATAGTCAACGGCGACTCGACAACACACCACACGCTCATAAAATTAAGCCATGGATTGTCGCGCACACGTTACATTTTGCCGACGATTTTAAATGTCATTATTTATCAGCAATTACAGAATTTTTTTCCCGTCACACATCGATTTTCGTAATGTTTGTACTTGTTACGTAACTCTTATTCTAGTTTATTAATAGTTTGCGTATTTGTTGCTCACAACCTGGGTGAATGTTTAGTCAGTCTAATGTGTTTCTTTATAACAATGCATACTCAAGCAAGTAAAACCCACCATTTATCAAGTCAAAAACAGACCACAGTCAGAGTTTTAAGCAAAAAGTGAGCTCAAAAACATTTTACATTTGGATTACCTCCCTAATTATGATGGTGATGAACATGGACGTTGATAGTTGCTTATAAAATAGGGAGATTGGGAAGTTAACTTCTCAATCTGTAAACTGTAAGTTCTTTGTTCGCATTATTAAAAACATTGTGATACTGTTGG